TAGTCTCGATGCAGTACTATTACCAATTCGCTCTCTCCAAACAGTATCAAACAAGCTATAAAGTAATTAGACAAGACAGCAGAGACGGTTCCGGTTGTTTCAGGTCAAAAACATGCGTACATTGTTTTCATGCGAGTTCTGTGCACTCTTCAAGAACGATGGATGGCTGAGCGAAAAGCACGAAAGTCGATTCGCTTTGAAACCGATCCAGAATGGCAGCCAGATGATCGAGTAGTTCTCTTCCAAGAGTTCTATAAAGGTTTGTCGCATACCCACTGGTTGATCCGTCGTCACTATTACCGTAATCTGGTGTTATGTAGCCACCATGTTTCGGGATGGTCTAGCGCAGATTGATGGTGACATCGGTCCACTGCTCTTCATAGAGTTACTGTCAGTCGGGTCCCCATCTGCGGCCTTCCCACTGGTTGTTTTCTTTCCAAGTCGTTCCCAATACGATCACTATTGGTAGGTTAGTGCGGCCAGAAACGGGGTGATCCCACCTTCCTCAGGCCGTCCCCCACTGTGTGATGTTACAAACTATAAAACTCATATTTATATTGTAGCCAGCTCGATAATTAGTTATAGCTACTTATAAATAGATTAGAGCTTTCGTAACACCGGGCGGCTCACTTCGAGAATAAGAAAAACCTCTGGAAAAAAACCGGTCAACGTCCGACAAACTCAAACGCTCCTAGAGGCCTTGTTCACACAGAGCATAAGAGCAGAACCTGACCTGCCATTGTGCCACCGACTCCCTTGACCATATCAGAACGCAGAAAGCGCACCAATGAGGAAGACGCAGTTGTAGGCCCGACTCTGCCTATGAAATCAGCGCGCACTGTGCCTTTATCAAGCGCAGTTGTCTGTCTTCTTTCTATCAAGCGCCGTAGTCTGTCTTCACTTCCAACTTCTCAATGAGATGGAGGGTTACAATTTAGATCGCCGGAGACGAGAGCTTTGGCTGCGCTTGCTTTGCACCAGAAGAGACTTAAAATTAACAACATGACAAAGTACCGACAACATTTCAGCTTTCCTCGAAACTGCACCAGCAGTTTTCAGCTCTGTGTTGCTGTGAGCCTCAGAACTTCCAAATCTGGGGAGTTTCTGCGAGGTTCAAAACAACTTCATCCGAAATTCGGGAACTTTCTACGAGCTCCAATACTTTGAAATTTGGGGTTTTATGCCATAGTTCTGGAACGGGTAGACAAAAGCAGTATCTTTTCAAAGCTTCTTGAACAGTTCGGCTCAGCCCCACATCAAGTGTGTTCCATTTAGGAAATCGAACTTGGGTTCTATTAGACTTCGACCGATATATCTTAACCCAGTGGCGACCGCGTGGCTCTGAAGTGATTTTCGGCGCCCGATTTGTGGAAAAGAAAATGCGTGCCGGAATGCAACTGTGCGCTTGGTGTGGAATGATTGAACAACAGGTAAGGAAGCCTTTATCAACCGTCCATGTTCAGTTATATCAGGCCGAAAATAGTAATAGTTGGGAGTGAAGGGGTCCGTTTACCGGCCCCGAGTGTCAGGTAACAACCGTACATGGAAATGATGTCTCTAGAGACCAGAGTTTGCAACATACAGAAGAGAAGGTGAAAAAAGACGCTTTGCTCATAAGGTGCACCAACAAAAGTTGTCCACAGGCGAAGGTGGTGTAGCAATCCGGTTACGGTAAACTGGTAGCAGACTCCTCTTGGAGGGTAGGAACACAGCCCTGTACATTCGATGGCCTCCCCCACCTCCCAAGTCATTCCACATGGCTGCGTATCGCATCCCAAAAAGGAACGATCACAGCGAAGAATTCATCCTTCATTCTTAAAAGACTGGGAACGTACGTGAGAACTTGTTGTAAAGTATGCATGTGCTGCTCTTCTCTGGTAAGAGCCGTACCAAAGCTACCTACACCGTCACGAAGAGGTGAGCAAATGTGACCCTCTCTTCTTCTAAGGCTGAATCTCAACAAAGAGAAGCATTAGTATTGTAGGTGGTAACCAGAAAGGGTACTGCCTTGTCTCCCGGTATTTCCCAAACTACCCCGACACACCGCTTGGCACGAAACCGTATGGAGTCCGTGCCACACATGCCGGGGCTAAAATAAGCACGTGGTACCGTCGCGTGACTCGGGCACCAGGCGGTTTTGTTTTTAGCGGATGCAATATTCGTGTTAAGGAGATCGAACTACTCTTGGAGGCGAGTTTCTAGCCAACATTGTCTTGGGAGAAAAAAAAGTCGGTAAAAAACTGATTTTAAGAGATTGGGCAGGGAAGGGTGATTAGTCCTGCAATCCCCAAGCTGAGTTCATGTCCTTATGCCATGCTTGCCTCCTTTTAGATAGGTGTGATGCCGGTAAACTGTACACTCAGGGTCGGAAAATTAGGACGGACCGGATAGTTATCCGGCTAGTAAACTACTCAGCTAATTTATATTTGCTGGACCCTACTGTTTTCACAACGCACTTAGTATTCCTGCAATTACAACAGGGACCGCGTGCTCTATCCACTATACTTCTTTGTTCAGCCCAACCAATTCTCACAATTCATGGACGACAAAGCCGTTTGCTCACCTCAATGCTGGGAATTATTGCAAGCATCCACCAAGACTACTGATCCTCAAACGAAATAAACTTGTATTTGTACTGAATAAACATACTTTCAAAACATCGTACTAATGAATTTTCTTTCTTCACTGATACTGTGAAAGTTGTGGCGTTCAGAAGATCCAGGCCTGACAGGTAAGTTAGACAGAGTAACCCCTACGTCTGCAATGCGGTGACACCGATGGACGCTTCTTGAACCCTCCGAGTTCTCTCTTCTAATAAACTCGAAATGCTGATTGTGAGTCTTCGAATTGTTTTGCGTAGGATTCAGCACGGAGTTTCACTCGAATTGGTACAGCGTTCCGAATGAATCGCCGTTCTCAGAGGCCGATGCCCCACCGTTCTACTACAAACTGCTCACTCACTTTCGAGGGTGGTCACTCACCTCCGAGGACCACGTGGGAAGTGAATGAGTCCGCTGTAGCAGCGTGCCAGAAAGTGCCAGTTTCTCCGCTAAAAAGTGCACTTGAACAGAACTGGAAAGCAGCGAGACCCAGGTGCTGTCTGCATACTCCACCCGCGCGGCCATACGCCTAACCGTAGCCAGACGCCCTTCTTGTCGGCGCCCTCTCACTTCTGGTTGTTCTCTATGGCTGAATGCGTGCTTGCTGCGGGATTTTGGTATCAACACAAATGCTGCAACGTGAGTATAGCGCGGGAGAAGTTTGGGACTGCACTCGGGTAGCACAACCTTACAGACTGTTTTCGTTGACTTTTGAGTGGAGATAGTGGCGAACTGTTGCAGCTGCTGACCCAGCCAATTCACCTCGCACACGCGCGAAGGACATTGTGTGACAACTGTGACTATTAGTCGCCCCCGCTGCCTCAGGGTGGCGAAAAATTACAGGCGTGCCTTTTGTACAGTTTTGAAAACCGAAGGAACAGCGCACTCGATACCATTTTAAGCATTGTTTGGAACAACCATGCATATCCACAAATGCCAAAATATTCATTTTGTGAGCAATATTAGCCTAATTTTATCGACAAGATTAGGCTCCAATCTATGGGTTTGAAAAAGAAAACAATTCATTTTCTCTAGTTAAAATCGGTTCCTTTCCGACTGCGTACAGCATCGTGATGTGTGAAGTGGCGATGTCACTACCACCCCTCCCACTCGGAAGTTTTTCATCTGGTACAACTCCCCTTCCCTATCCTCCCCACCACCTTTCTACGCTTTCCCAACTTCCTACCACATTTCTAGAAGAATTCTCCGATTTTTCCGTGTTTTCCCAAAGCGGCCGTCAGTGGGACCGAGATGGGGGAGCAGGGGAGGGAGGGGATGGGGAGATGATCACCAATCACTTTCAACTACCAGAAACTGCAGTTGCTCACTAGTTATGCGCATCCAGCAACTAGTGAGGTAGCGAACATGAACCGAGAGGAGTCAAAAACTGGAGTAATTTCCCTCGTGGCTCAGAGGAATTCTTCTCAAAGGTAATCACACTCCCTCCCCCTTTCCCAGCGACCATGTACGACCTCCGCCTGATGTGATTCTCTCAACGATACTGTACCCTGCCTCTGAATGAGGACAGCTCTGCCGTTCGAAGTATTCTCGGTAAACGGGTAATTTAGCAGTGGCGGAGGAACTTAAATCACTTCAATAGTAACGACACTCCCTGAGGGTATAAATACAAAATTTCATTTAGTTATCATAAGTGCCATTCTAGTTAGTGGAAGGAGAGCAGAATGACTGATGCGAAAATGTTACGAAAATGATTAGTGATTTCAAATATTGAGAAAAAATGAAAAGAACTGTGAGAAAGTGAAAAGAAAATTGAGAAAATGATTAGCAACTACTTCTTGTCCTCCACTCCAAAAAAGATCTTCGTGGAAAGCGTTTTCTGACGATGAAGAGCTGAAGGCGGCAATTAACGCACATTTTGGGGACAAGGAGGAAAAATATTTTCAGAGGGTATTGAAAAGTTAGTTTCCCGAGCAAACAAGTGTATTGAGGTTATGGGGACTACATTGAAAAAAAATTTCACTCAGAAGTTTCTGTCTTTTCCTTCGTACCTATACAGAGAATACTTGAACATCCTTCGTAGCCGGTCCTCCATTAGGTCCTCAATCAAAAGCGTAGTACACCTCGCCTGCTCCCTGGAAAATTTGCTGAAATTAGAACTCATCATAGTTTATTGTTTCACAAAAATAATCCCCTTAAGATGCTCGAGAACAAAAATTTAATTTATAGTGCACTCCATGACACACGTAATTTTTCGCCACAATTTATTTATTTTATAAATAGATTTCTGGAATAGAACTGATAAAGATATGGTAAATAGGGGGAACCTCTCAAAAAATATTATTGTTGTAAGTCCTAATTCTCTTTCGTTCTCTTGTAATAAATGCAAGTTTAAAAGTTTATTTCGCTTTGCGCATGCAACTCGTGACACAATCCCACCGCCGCCGTCGTGGGTGGTCGCGTCGCGTGTGGTCTGCTCGGCCATCGTCGATCGCGTAAAGGGAGATCGATTCAATGGCAAACTTATTGGAAACATCATAAGGAAGTGTACCTGGCGTCGCTTACAAACACGTTGTTCACATATGCGGTAGTGCCAAAAATACAAACAAGCAGCAATCTTAAATAATACGTTATTTTTTTAAGTTAATAAAGAATAAATTCTTAGATGTTATGTAGACCTGACAAGTGTTAGAATGCTTGACAACAATATGAATCTCCAGTTAATTCCAAAAAACCACTCGAAATTCTTAGAAAATACCTAGAAATTTTCCAAAACTATATTCCTTGCAGTTATTACGATTTTTGATGAAAACCAAGTTTGAAAAGTTCCTGGAACTTTGAGGCCTCTGGAATTTTTTGAATAAATTTTGGAGCTTCATATTGCTGTTAAACATTCAAATAACATGAAGCTCCGAGACAGCACAATAAAGAAATTGTACTGAAAATTAGAGCCGGAGTGGTGCAAATTGAAGGCAGGTCAAAAAAAGGGAACAGATTCGGCAGTCCTGACCAGTTTCGGTGATTGAATGGATATCACGGCATATGTACCATATCCTTTGCGCTAGCACATGTGAGAGCCGCAAAGTAAGTAGACTACTAGAAAGAGTGCCTATTTCTGGGGAAAGTATCGCCTATTTCAGAGGAAAGTACTCAGGAGATAAAGCCGGACCGCGACTTACAACAGGACAGGATTACAAAGCAGGAGTTCCCAAGACTCAGCAACTGAAATGCCATTTCTGTTCCTTCTTTCTACTAGCTGCTTACCTGCTCGCCTATAGATTCACTTGCAGGGCTTTACTGTAGCTTATTCTTCTTCTCCCTAGCCTTGGTCCCGCGCCGTCGCAGCGTCCGCTGTTCTTCTTAGGCGTCGCCACTTGTTCCGCCACATCCTCTGCCGTGGCTTTCACTTCAGTGAGGTCCTTCTTGATGAGGTCCCTCCATTTGGGGTTCCTTCGTGGTCGCTTGCCCTCTGCTTCGAATTCCAGTGCCTTCCTTATTGGGTGGTCTTCAGGCCTTCTCAGTACGTGCCCATACCATCGCAGTCGCTGCTCTCGTGCCTTCAGCTTGGATCGGAGCCGATCTCGTGTGACCTCCGACCGTCCTTGTTTGCTATGTTTATTACATTGCCGAGACATGTGACTGCAGATGAAATAAAACTTGAATAACAACAATGTAATAACAACCAATAACCTACGCAACTCAGCAACTGCGTAACAAGAAAAAAAAAAAAAATTAAAGTAAAAATAGGGATGTGATTGGTGGATGTACAACTTATTTCGTCTGCGGCAGTGATACTGCAAGTGAGAGTATCTTAATTTTTTTTTTGAAAAGCCCAGTCGTGTCCAATCGCAGGTCCATCTCAGCAACTTCATTTCAGCTGAGTGGATCTGCCTTTCATGGTTCTTGCAGTGCTTCACTGGTAGACCAAGGAAAACGACATTCCGAGATGCCACTTTCAACCGTTTCCCCACATTATTGCTACTGTACCCGCCTGGAACGTTTGAAATAAAATAAACTGTGAGAAGTTTGTCTGCTTTTCTTGTTTGGTACTGCCAATAGACTTTTTCAGTCTGATAGTGAGACCAGATCAAAATGACCACAGAGGTCGTTCGATAGGCATGCCATGAGCAGAACCGACACTCGTTGGGCTACTAGGCACAATGCCTCAGCCTTCCAGTGCTATTTCCTTTTCCAATACTATTTTCAGCATTCATAGTGTTAACGAGATATATGCGATCTTAGAATCAGTGCGTTTACTTGTAATGCACTCAGAACTTTTTGTTGAAAAATGTTTCGATTCCATGATTTGTAGGCCATGGCCATTTTTGCTACAAATCAAGCGCTTTTGAATTTTTAGGCTTTTATTCTGTGAGCAGGGCTACGCTATTTCATTTCTCTGTAATAGCCCGCTGTTTCAACGTGCCTTCTGTGTTGCGTTCACTACTGCTGGTCAAATATTAGTCTGTTTCACAAACTATGAGCTCATACTCATGATCATGCTCATGCTTTTCTGTCTCGATCTGCGAACAACTTGTCACTGTGACCGATTTCAGCGGCACCAGCGATCCTATTAGTCCCCCTAATGCACTTTCAGCGTGATATTACACGTAAATGCCGAGATACACTTGGCGTGTGGGTTCATTTGTACCCGATATGACCTTTCGTTGATTCTGGCAATACGCTGCGGCATCGTGTGTGGTCGAGAGAGCTAGTGCAAAGGGTAGGTCCTAGCGCGAAACAATACGCAGTTCCCCCAACGCGACGGCACGTCGGCCTCACATATCGCTCAAAGTGCTCGGCTTATTCAAATGGTATCGTACTGTACTGCCATTGTTTTGAAATTGCAAAACTGCTACTACTTGTCAGTTGAACTGACAAGCTTTGAAATTGATTAATTTCCTGGAACCGGAATTAACTTGTTCCGAGACACTTTCAGTTTGCCGTCTTGCATACCTTTGATTTCATCGTCTGAACTTGACTACGATAATTTATTTTGAATGGGAGACATTTGAAATAATAAGCTTTTTGAGCAATGACTTTTTTTGTTACCCAACTTGTGAGCGA